GGAACCTGTAAAACATAATATTTTGTCATTGATAATGAAGAATAAAGCCAAAGTCATTTTGCTGTTCTTCAGACGCTCTTTACCTTCTAAGGTGTCATTTTTGTGTGTCTTATGCTTGCTTAACATCGTTATTCGTGACAAGAGGAGGTGCGTTTTCGGAATAGTAATCAAACATCATGTAATGAAGCCTTGTAAAATAACGGATGTTCCACAGTACGATCGTGTAAAACAGTCAATTTTCTCGCATATTTGTACAGGCATGAACCTAGATTTGTGACGTTGATCCCTGAAAATCAATTCCTAACGGCTGTTTGACACTGATGTCTGCCCTAATAGTGCCGCTATACATATGTTGGTATTTGGCCACATTGCATAAACAAATGCATGACCGTAAGCTCTCCATATTTCATTTAATAAACAGTCGTGCACCATTGCGGCGCTCCAGCAGGCCATGCATAATTTCCATTAGTGTGCTAGTTTATTCATGAATTCATGAATCACTGTGGCTAAGTGTTATATATTTGCCGGCTGTGGCCACCGAGGCCGGGCCCGGCGGCGGTTCGCCGTACCCGCAGCCCGCTGCTGGTCCACTGATAAATGGCCGTTTGACTCGAGAATGACTCGGACTGCATTATGCATGAGCCGCTGTGGTCTCCATCCTCGTGAGCGCGCAGTCAGGCGAACGGGTCACATTTTTACCTTGTGGAACTGCAGCGTGCCGAGCTATTATTGTGCTGAGCGGCTGCGGTCTGCCCGCCGCACGGATATGCCAGTCCTGTGATGGTGGACATGAACTTCCCTCTCAGTCGTGGGAGACGCGGCGAGGGCGAGGGGACTCGGTACTGACTACTGACGCCCTGCGACTTGAACTGAAGTGGTGGGGCTCAGTAGACACAACTTTCGCATTTCAATCGTGAGGTATTGTGCTTCTCCTACGGGATCGTCCCACACTAGGTCCTGCTTGTTAGTGATGCGCTCTACTGCATCGAATTGGCGTCTGTTTTAGAGACCGATGACTGGCCACGCTGGCGTCCCATTTGTTGCTCCCAGAGATCGGCTTAGCCACTGGTCATGTGTCCAGAGGTGACCAGTCTCCCAGAGGTGGACTGGTCATGTGTTTCTCTGATCTCTCAGTATAGCTGGGGAGGCTTATTTTTATCAAGTACCTACTCGTTTCGTTGGTGGCTGTGGACCGTAAAATATTAAATAATGTAGCATTCCAATCTATTCCTTTTTGTGAATTGTAAAGTTTTTTTTGGGAATAAGAATAAGACAAGCATTATTTCCTGGAGTGATTTTCGAACAAATTTCGCTGAAAAGCCGTGAATGCCTTCAAGCATAGAAAACATGAACTACCGGTAGTTCATGTTATCTATGCTTCAAGTTATTGGCATTGAACAGATAGTTTTTTTTTTAGTGCAACCGAATTACCCTTTCGTGGATTTCGTGGTATACGAACGCCACCGTCAAAAATTGCATACATAAACTGGATCGCGTCCTACAACGGTGTGGGTTTTGTCCTCACAATAATCCTACCAAATTCATGTGTATTGACATTATATATGTGCATTTTGCAATGATAAATCATCGTTTTCCAGTATATTTACATTAGCGAGTGCGCACATGTGAACTACTTTCTAAAGAAATGGCTTACATCTACCGTCCTGTCTATTATAGGTACCGGATTTTCCTGTCGAGATGATTTATCCTTAAATGTTCACCGTCCATTTATCCTCCATTCTGATGCATAGCGTTGCGTACCATAGTACGGCATATGATTGTCTGCACTCGACTGGCATAATGCATGTGAAGTCGGTCTGGAATTGCGTGTCGCCAGACCCCGCGGCTGTCAGAGAGGGCCCAGCGGCCCCTGCCGCTCTCAGGAGAGGGTTGTGGTGGCTCAGAAGACCCCGCCGCTGCCAAGGAGAGGTCCGGCGGCCCCCGTAGCTGTGAGGGGAGGGTCTCAGCGGCCCTCTTCTGCAGCTCCAGGGGGAGGTTGCACTACCCCACCCCCCTGCGGCTCCAGGGGAGGGTCCGCCGTCCCTCTCTGCAGCTCCAGGGGGAGGGTGCACTGGCCCTCGCGGCTCGTAAGGGGAGGGTCCAGCGGCTCCCTGTGAGGGTCCGCCGGCCCGCCCCCGGCCGCCGCCGCCGTTGATTGGCGGCCGCCGCCGCCGTCGTCGGGTGTGGGCCCGCTCCGCCGACCGGGTCGGTCCCGCGGTCCGTCAGTCAGTCTGTCAGAGGCAGTGCTGGAGGTGGTCGTGTCGCTCCCCGCTCCCTGACCACGCTCGCCCGGCTGACTAGCACGCACTGGTTTGGTTTGGTCTGGTCTGACGGCCTGACCTGAGGTGATCGAACGACTGCCGAACGGTACTTCAGGTTAGTTTGAAACGTCGGTGATCCAGCGTCCTGATTGGAGGTGACGGCTAGAAGTGGAATATGTTGGGGGAAATTTTATATTTGATCCGACTGGTGGAATTTGGTTTAGAGCGATGTCCACTGTTCGCATGAAATCCTACTAATGTTTTATTTCATGCATTGCCCGCATTCCTTTGACGCTAATCATTTTTTTTAGGCGACAGTTTAACGCTATGCCCTTATCACAGGTCATTAATTTGTTCTTATCAATGCCCCCCCCCCCAAAAAAAAATGCGCTCCATGACTAGTTGGAAGAAGCAATGCCGGGAAGACGCTGTGGTCTGCTCTGTACTAAGAAGTTTTGTGTGTTTGGCACCGACCACCGTTAAAATTTGCTGCATTGCGTGCAGTGCAACGCACCGTTACACGCTCATTTTGATCCTGCATAACCCTACTCACGTGTGCTCTAAGGGCGGTTCACGTGCCGAGCAAAACGTGAGGTGCTCTGAGGCCCCTTCCTTTATTGGATCACTGTCCTGGCTTACAGATTTTAAAGAAAGTATGATTTATGTAAAAGGAAGAGTTTAAGGGTGTTGCCTGCTTGGCTGTGGGAGTGGCGCATCTCGAAATGAAAGTGAAATTACATTTCGCGTGCCAATTATGTGGCCTAATATTGAAGTGCAGCTCAGTAGTGTAGTTTTCCTATGAACGCTCTGTCATGATTATATCATCTTTATTTTCCAGACATTCAATAGCTCATTTTGGATATTTTTTAAAGTAAGAAGTGATATGGAAATGTCATAGTTTGTAATCCGTAGTCCGTATTTGAATATCTTTCGAAAACCCATAGTTATAGACGTTGCAAATTTGTATACCTATCATGAATATTTAACCGAAGGCAATTTTAAAATGAGAAAATGACTTTTGCGACACCATGGTTGGTTGAAGATAAGCCAAATGCTTAGCTCAATATTTTTAAACTCCCCATTTCCTCTAATTGGTGGCACCCTTCGTGAAGTAAGGGTGTCTCATTCTTCTTGGGTCGATTACAAATTTAGTTTTGAGGCGTCACTTTTAAAAGTCTAAACCGTCATGGCGAATATCTTATTTGAGCTCGAGCTTTAGGAAAAGCACGTTGTCATCCGTACTGATTGTGGTTCATAGAATGAATACGTGTCAAACTGAACTTTGCACGCGAGCCAGACACTAAAAGGTGGCTTCACAACACTCATGCATGCGAGGAAATTGTCGCGACCTTGCGAAATGTGTATATTCTTTAAAAGCTTGTTGTGCAATTGTTTCTGAAGTGGACAGCGAGCGGAAAAGTTGTCACGTTGGATATAACGCGGGTGTCGGGCTGATGACCGGCTTATGTTAGTGATTATTATGAAAAAAATTACGCCCATATTTGAATAACTTTAACTTAACCATGCCTGCTTCCCTATGGACCCAATCCCTGCATCCCTCGCTCATGAGAGTTCATCGCGCACCACGTATGCTTCGAAAGAAATCGAAAATGGCCTAGCTGACATAACGTGTCGGCTATCTCCTCAGTGTACCCGTGATCCCTTTAATCTCATTTCCGCGGGTCATTGAACGCTTTGCATGCCCGTCGGTCAGGATCATGTTCAGATCTCATTCGCTGAACAGATTACGTGTCGTTGCAGGACAGTGCACGAATCAGGATATGCCGGTTTTCTTCGTAAACCGAATTCACGACCACCGCCAAAAATTGCGAGGAAGTAGATTAGGAGCGTTCCTTCAATGGGGCTGATTTGTGAGCCGTGTTGGTGGCACGCGCCGGCTGCACGCTGCCGTCCTATAGCGGGCCGCTCTGTTCCTCTGTCTGTGTTGAGCGCACGTGCCGTCCTTAGCGGGTTGTTCTGCTCTGTTCTGTGGACTCGCTGGCCGTTCTACCTGGCATTCCGCTCCAGTGCTAAGAACACAGGCGAGATACCAAAGTATTCCGTCGAGCGGACTCGGTTCAGAGGAGAAGTCTCGTGGGATTCTGTCTCTGGGTAATTCACGTCACACGTGATGCTATGGCTACCGGAAACGTTAATTGATAACCTGTCCGTATCCGTTAATTCATTTGAAATATGGCAGGTGGTGAAAACCTTGGTATGTCAAATGCTGAATGCTTATTCATGATTGTGTATAATGACTTTGACTCGTGAAGTTTGTGATAATGCTCGGCTATAAATAATTTCTGATCATCTCCGGCCCTGGCTATTCCAGCCTCTTGTGCAGGTAGTGAATTCCAGACGTGTTTTGTTATTCCCCATAGCCCGCGTGGTTGGAGCGATTAAGGCCTACAGCTGCCAAAGCGGCAGCTCGGACTTCGCCGACCGCGCTGTGGTAAACATACAGCCAAAATAACCGACGAAAATAGCAAACCATTTCGCTAACCAAGCGACATGTAGCCTGGAGTCAAGTTTGTACTACAGGCTATCTCTCTTGATCTCTCTTTATCTTTCCTTCTGTCCTTATTTTTATGCCTGTTCGTCTTCCTTTCATCCCCAGTTTTTTTCTTCTCCCTCCCTCCCTCTCTTGCTCCATCATCTCCCTGTTTCTCCCTGTGTGTATGCGCTCCAGACTGATGCTCTGCAAGCTTTTAACCATTTCTCCCCCTCGCTCCCTCGCAGATTGAGCCCGCGCCGACCGGCCGTGCTCCAGTGACGTCATGACGGGCTCCGTGGAGTTCCAGCGGCTGCCCAAGACAGTGGTGCCCCGCCACTACGCGCTCTACCTGCACCCCGACCTGGTGGGGCTCACCTTCACCGGACACGTCATCTGCGACCTCGAGGTCAGTAGCGGGGTCTCACGGGGTCACACAGGAAACGAAAAGGGATGCGTGGGCTTCTCGGATTTCATGAACGGGGTCTACATGCTTGAAGGGTTGTCTTTAAAGGTAAGGGCCAATCGGCTTGTATCGTGATCGCCGATGACTCGAGGACTCGAGCGTTGGTCCCGAGCGGATTGGTGGCACGAAGACGGTTCCAGGACAAACAAAGTTTATCGAGTTTCTATTCCGGACAGGTCATCAGTATGGTAAAACTCAGGGTACTCCCTAGGTTTGGCCTGGCTGCTGTTTCTAATTTGGCATTTTTGGCGCATACATTTTGTTGTCTTAACACTGCCAAGAAATTGGCCGCGTTGATAACTGTTTCCTAAACAGCTCATTTCTCGGAGGTAATTTTCAAGCAAACCGGATGGTCAACTTCCGTCCATTGCGCATTACCAATGTCACAGGCAACTCTTTGAAGCTCTTCATTGTGCATGTTGCATGCAGTGTTACATAAACATGACATGAATGAGGTTCTGCAAAGTCCGCCGCGCCCCATACCCGGCCGCGCAATGACCGGAACTGATTCGGCTGGCTGACACGACCCGCAGGGGCGCTTCAGATCCGCTTCAGGAATTCATTAATAACAGTGCAGGGCATCTTCCGGCACATTTCCCTTGTAGACTACTCTCTGTCATATGCCACAGCAATGTTCCGACATTGTTCGCAGGGCCCATTTCAGTGCAGCGTTTACCAGGCCACGGAACGTCGCTCCCTGATTGACAGTTTCCTGACCAGTCGTCTGTTGCGGACCGATGTCGATTTTTTGAGTTTATATTTTTTCGTATTGTCTTGCAAGCTGCTGACCGCAAGTCCGTGACGTTGATGGACTGTTTGGCTCGGGGGTAAAGAACCACCTGTGGTCACCGGCTGAACGATTCTGTCCTTAGCGGAAGGCATCCACCCCGGTCGAGTGAGCCTCGGAAGGTGAGGGGTTCCGCTGCGCCCGGTCCCCGACAGTTTTTGGAGTTCCGTCCAGTTTTTACCGAGCCGCAGGAAGGGCGTGTGTCGCATTGTTGCGGTTGCCAAAATGGACCTTATTCGTCGGGTATCGTGTTATCGGAGTGGAGGGTAAGGTCGGTGCACTGTGCACATGTTCGGTGAACAGTGAACAATAACCCTGAACGGGTGGACAGGTGGCTGACGTCAACGCAGAACACACCGGAGCTGCTGAATGAACGTGTTCATGTGCGAATCGGGTGCATTTTCCGCATTGTCGATGCTTTCAATGCTATTTGTTACATAAAATTGGTTTTCATAATTATTTTAGCGAAACATTTTTATTCCAAGCCGTAGAATGAACCGCACTGTGGGCACCTGTTAGTAGTTTCTATCAATCAAAGTCATATGATATCTGCAACATGCATTCTTTAGATGGTCGCTCCGTTACCGCTTTGTTGTTTGCTGCTTTTCTTTCACAGAGCGGCTTTTAGACAGCGCTAGCTAATAGCGTGTCATAGATCATGGCCTGGGCTGTTGTGTTTTCATTGATATAATAGTTTTCCATTACGAACTGTCACAACTGGTAGATTTATTTCAGCAAGCAATACGAGAAATAATAACTTTTTTGAGTTCAATGCGGCACAGAACCGCTGCTCATCCATTGATAGATATTGCGGTAAAACGTTGCAGCCTGCCTGAATGCTGCCTCATCTCCGCTGCATAGTTTTCCTACATCATATTGGATTACTGGCATAGTTGCGACAAATTTTGTGCACGTTCAGCAACTGTTGACCCTCCGATGCCTGAAATATCGGGTCATAGCTATTTTCCTGCATTCTTTTTTGACTTGCCGATGCAGTGCAACGGTTTTCTCACTTTTCGTGCCGTAGCTTTGGAAGCGGTCTCGGCTCTGTTCGGCCCGCTATGTTTCTATTTTTGTCTGTTCGCTGCGGTCGCTCGGTGCTGTATTTCCTGCACAGACCTCCTGTCACGTCTCTCTCTCACACCTCCCTCGGTCTCCCCTGATTACTGAGTTCGCGATAATTGTTATTGCCTCGGCTGGCGGTATCTCGCCAGTTCCCAGTTCCCGGCGCGGCACTCGGTCGCGGTGGTGGGAGTTTTTTCTCTGTACCGCCAGCCGGTTTGCCGTGTGGTCGCTGTTTTAGGGCCTTTGTGTTCTGCCGCTGACTGGGGCAGAACATTGGTCGGTGTTTCCGTGGTTCGCGGACGTCATCGTTACATACGCGAGGCTTTATTTTCACGCCCGGGCCACGTGTGCTCATGACTGACTTCCTGCGGGGCAGTGCCATAACTTGTCCACCACAGTGGTGGACCTACTGCTGTGGAACTCGCCGTCTCTGCTGGTTCATTTCATCCCTTCTATATCACTGGTAGGCCCCACTGAGATAGGGGGGAGAGATTCCATCAGTCAGCGCCAGCCGACACCGCCGCGGCCCCGTCGGCGTATCGCACCCGGCCACCTTGTCGCCTCGCCCCCCCCCCCCCCCGCCCTGCCCCGTCGCTGCCACTGCCGACGACGACTCGACACAACAGGCGAGGTCGGTATCTGCCTGGAGCCGTATGGCTGGTAGGGGTGATATTTCTTGGCTCCATCGTGTCGGCGCAACGGAAAATAGGCGACCTGGCCTGCCTGCACGCTTATTATTCAGATTTAAACGTTTTCATTCACGTTCTGTGCATGCATTGGACCATTTGTGTTGTAGATGGATGTTAGCCAAGTTCATGAATGCACTACGTGAGGCCATTTTCCATCTCGTCGCTGTAACTTCATCCGTCTGCTGTCATATTTTAGCCTGATGCATGGTGATGGACGGAGTTCGCCAGCTTTTGGGCCGGATCAGCGGCCAAAGCTGCATCCCATTTACTATTCGCGGCCGGTCGCCGCGCCGATAGCTATGAAGGTTTCGGTCACGACTTGGATGTCGTGTCCGCGGAGCGGGACATGCACGCTGACCGGGCTCCGAGCGTGATGTCCCGGCGAGCTGACGTCCGCCTGCCGGCCGTGCCGTGCCGGTGTGTCCGCGATCTCGGAGTGATGGCCTTCCGTAGTGGTCCCTACAGTGAACCGGGACGGGCTCCGCCGGCACGGTGATAGGCTGTAAGGACGGGCTCCGCCGGTACGGTGTTAGGCTGTAGGGAAGTGCATGCCGGTACGGTGATAGGCTGTAGGGAAGTGCTTGATGGTACGGTGCTCGGTCGAGGGACGACTTCTCCTGGTATGGTGCTCGGCTGTGGAGCAGTGCTGATGGTGCGATGCTGGGTCTTACGGGGTTACCTCTGCCGGTATGGTGATAGACTGGGGGAGAAGTAACGCTCGTCCCTTTAGGTACCGACGATGTGAATCCATGCATGTGCAGCTCAGAGTCGTGGTCATCTATCTTCCTCCTCTGACGTTGGGCTGCCTGTGCTGCCGTTGAAAAGTGTGTTGACGGACGGTGTTGACGGACGGCGTTGACGAACGCTTAGGTGTAGGACTGATAGACGGCGGCGACCGTCACATCCGTCACACCACTTAGCGACCGTCACGGCCGACACCGGACGTGTGTGACGTGACGTAAGACGTAGAGAGGTGGTGGTGTCTTGAGATTACGTGAGGTCTGGTCTGTATCAAGTAAATATAGCGTGGGGTGTTGGGCGTTGTTGATGGTTCTACAACGGAAAGGCCTATAATATGCAGTTTTTGCTCTCGGTATCTCCATTCTTTCATTAAATCTTTGTAACTGCAATTACCTACATTTATCTTCCAGTGCCTTATAATGAGGACAGTGTAGGAGCTGCATTCCGATTACATTCTCCGCATTACGAGCTGGGCTCATTCACGGAGCAGCGGTATGTCAGCCGTTAGTCCGGCGAGGGAAAACAGGCCGACATTTTCAGATTGCATGTCGCCTACCGTTGACAGCAGGTGTCACGTTAGACACAATCTGATGGGCGACTTTTGGCTGACAACTTCCGCGATCTACCAAGCGCCGCGAGCTCTGTCGTGTCGTGCATGTCAGTCCTTAAACGATTTACTAAACACCTGCTACATTAGGTTAGAATGTCTTTGATGGCGAGGCAGAGGGAAAAATGGAGACAGGCTGGTAGATTCGGGTTCATTACCATTCGTTTCTGAGTACTGGAGTGGTTGTATTTGTCCTTTGCGGTCTGCTATCGCTTATCCTGTGCTAAAAAGGTATATTATATTTTGGCGACAGTGACATCAAATGCTGCCTCGACTATTTATTGTTACTGGCATTTATGTCGTTACGTTTGAAGTGATTTTCAGTGCATATTTTTCGATGTTTTGCCTTTTTGCACCACTTCTCGTACAATGCCATTATCGAAATTAATCTGTTTGTGCTGCACTTCTTGATTAACCGTTAATTCATACTCGATCAAAGCCATCTCTTATCGAAAATCCGATTGACCTGTTTCTAATCCTCTACCAGCATAGTCTGTGTATTATCTCACACCCTCTCTCTCCTTGACAGGTGAAGTCGCAATGCAGCACAATCGTCTGCAACTCTGCCGAGCTGGAGGTGACCGAAGTGACCGTCACGGACGCTAACGGCGTCACGCAGCGTCCCGCCGTGGAGCTGAGTGCCGAGCTGGAGACCCTCACGTGCCGGTTGCAGCAGCCGCTGGCGCCGGGCGCCGCCCAGATGAGGCTCAAGTTCGCAGCCCCACTCACCGACAAAATGAGGGGACTCTACCGGTGCAAGTACACCAGGTGGGTGAAAGGGGAGAGACAGGGAGAGGATGGAAGGAGAAGAGATGATTTGGGATGGAACAGGCTGGGCGTCAATAAAGGTTAGTGCTCGGCGGTTGGGTTCGTGTAGCGGATGTTGCTGCTAATAGGGACGGGAAAGAGAAAGGTCTTTTTGAATCAAAAGTCCTAATAAGGGTATGGGTCTCAGTTTTGGACCTGATGGCTTGAGACCGACCAAAGTGACACTATATACGCTGGAAAGTCCAGCCACACTGGGTTCACTATAACAGGACTTGAACAACAGTTTGGGTTCAAACGACGCGCGTGACCTCTCTCTCGGGATTCGGCTCTGACACCTCGCTGCTACATATTCTACCGAGTACCAATACACTTATGCAGCTCAGTGTGCGGCTCAATATGCTGTGACTGCTGCTACACAGGGTCGCTGTGGGGAATGTCTGTCTGTATGCAGGGTATGCCTGTGAATCTGCCTCAGAGGCCGCGGCTCGTCCCGGTACCTCGGACCTTATCACATCTCGTATGCGGTCACGTCCCATGCCGAACCCTGTAGGTGTGTCAGGAAGGGGCCGAAGCGGCATCGCACCGCGGCCTGGGTGCATCGAGTACGGAATGCAGTCGACGCGCCGCTTCACACACCCGACCGGCCGGAGAACAGATCAAAGATGACGTTTATGGTGTGAGATCCATGGGGTATAGTGGTGTTAGTACATTCGTAACACGATTTTACTCGTGGGGTCTTGTTTGGTGGTAACGTTAAAGGCTGTACCTGTGTTATTGTAAGGAGACTTACTCACCTGTAAAAACGGCTCTGCTATTTTGATGGTTCGTTAGTACAGCGTTGCGGCGTTGTGAGATCACAGGCCGCAGTTTTATGGTCAAAAGTTTGGAGTGACGAACTTCTAGGGGAGTGTCGAGCAGACTTACCGGCGCTGACGTCAAACTCGAGCTAGGTGCAATCACGAAGCGCCAGCGCTTGTCCAGTTATTCGTGCGGCTAGGCCAGAATACTGACCGCTGACCTGACTTGTAATTAATGATTGCGACCGACGATCGCTGACCACTGACTACTGACCGCTTACAATGGTCATTTTTCTGCTGATGTTTACTGCTTACCCAACTTCAACAGCTCGATTTGAGCCTGCGCTGACTGATGGGTGCTGACTTTGCGTTGGACTTACCGAATAGCTGTATCCGCCGTTACGTGCCTCTCGTTCTGTGATCAGGTAAACTCCCCACTCCCCCTCTGACACCCCTGTGACCTCTCTGACCTCTCTAACCCCTCCCGTGCCTCCGCAGTCCCTCCGGCGAGGAGCGGTTCGCGGCGGCCACCCAGTTCGAGGCGACCGACGCGCGCCGCTGCTTCCCCTGCTGGGACGAGCCGGCGCTGAAGGCCACCTTCGATATCACACTGGTGGCGCCCAGAGACCGGGTGGCGCTCTCCAACATGGTGAGTGGCACGGCGGGGTCGCGGGTCTACGTCATTTACCTTCCCGACCCTCTCTCCACCTTTTTTTTATTTTTCTATCTCCTCTCTTTCTTTCTTTCTTTCTTTCTTTCTTTCTTTCTTTCTTTCTTTCTTTCTTTCTTTCTTTCTTTCTTTCTTTCTTTCTTTCTTTCATTTTGTTTCTCACTTTATCACTTACTTGGCTCTGATTGAACGCAGGGAACACTTAGGTGAGAGAATACATCCAGTGTACAAACTTCGAAAAATGCAGAACATGGTCTATGTCAAAAATGGGCCTTCATACCGCTGGTGAGCTGGTAGGGATCCTGATGATCGGAACGGTCACAAGCGTTCAGTCGGTGGCCAAGGTGTCGACATGGACTGATGCATGGTCGTCGCCTCGGAGGAGCTCGGACACATGCGTCATCAGCTAGATGAGTGCTATATGCACTTGGCTTGCCAGTTGGGGTATCTGAGTCAGGACGTACTTTGAAGGGCGGCGCTCGAGAGGAGTTTCATTTCTGTCTGGGGAAATTTGTGTTATTCGGACAGTTTTTCCTGATGTAGAGCTATCAGACTAGAGTTGATCGCTCTCTCATGGCTATCGCGGGTCGCTGGACTTTTCGCGAACGAACTCTACATACGCGGCCACAATGCGGCATTGAAAGTCGACTGGGAATTCAAACGAAAGGCGGATGCCCTTGCCACCGGCAGCTGCGGCTATCTGCCCGGGCTAGTACTGCACGCTGTGTCCGGGACGCTCCCAGAACTCCCCACCGTGTGTTCCCACACGCCTATCGGCGCCGCACCAGTCCTAAACGGCGGCTTATCTTCCACCGGGGCTATTCGGGGAAACTCGGTAATGGGAGGTGCGTGACCGAGCCGTTATAGCTGCGGTCGTAATCCGGGAGTGCCGGCCGCGCGGGGTGGAGGGGTGGGGGTTTGACGGTCTGACATAGCTGTCATAGTGGCGAGCTGTCATTGTCGTGGATCTGCCACGCTGTCACAGTTGCGGGACTGTCATACTGTCACGGCAGTGGCTGACAGTCATGTGTCTTCAGAGAGGCGCTGACATGTGCCAACTGTGATACACAGGCGGTGTTCAAAAAGATGAACCGATAATCGTATCGGCTTGTTATTGTAAAGGCCGGGCTCCACTACGCGTTTTTTTTTACGCGCGTTTTATCCGAGACATCGGTTTTTGCGTGAAATCGGTTTTGCAATTTGTCGGTTTTTGCGTGATATCGTTTTTTGCTTGTCATCCTGAAGCACGTGACATTATTGTTGTCATTAAACCCAGGCTCCACTACGCGGAAAATCACACTTTGTTTATTTTGAGACTATAGTATATATGGCCTTGATTTTGAGCCTATAAAGAAGGTGTTTTGCAAGTAGGTACATTTAATAAAAAGTAAGCCAAACTTTTATAAAATTTGTCTGAAGGGTTGAGTGGGTGCCTTTGAGCCTGGGTGCCCACTACATAAGCAGAGGTTTTTGCATAGCAGCATGGTCCCACCAATCAATCTTCACCCGCACCCAGTTCATGTTCAGCAAGTGGATGGCAGCACGGCACAAGGCTGGGCTTTCTCACGCCGGAGCCTCTGTGCTCGGCGTGTACATTCCCTTTGATGTACCTGTTCATTTTTTGAAAGGCACAAATGACAAAATTGAGCAGAATTTGATGCTGAAGTGTCTTGCACATGTTGCTAGCCTTGCACCTATGATAAACTTGCTTAAATACATAACTTGTTTCATAGCTAGCCACTGGTGGCTGAAGAGGGCAAGGGATTTTTTATTCTTAACATTCCGCCTACCTATGGCAATGCACCAGACTGGAAAACATCCATACACTAGCTGGACGCCCGTGAGACCCTCATGCGCCGAAACTCGACACAAGCAATTTTGAGCTGAAATTTCTGCATCACTTACCATGAAAGTTGGGTGCCTATTTGTGCCGAAATAATCCACTTTTACATAAAGCGCGTGTGCACTGTGCACATCATTCTACCGACCACTCATCTATCACCACTCCGCCAATTTCTATTTGAATTAAAACTATTTTCCCCTGCATTGACACTGCTTTAAGCGCAAAATGAAATATGTAGGGTTGCTATGTTTATCATTTCTCACCTTCACTCATCCTCTTTACACTAAAAAAAAACTTCTGCAAAAAATTTCCTAGCTTCAATACAAGAATTAAAAACATATTTAACAACGTCAAAAACAAACACAAAATTACATTCACATTGTTTGCCGTAGCGCGCAAGTCATGTCTCCCGGCCGAGATCACGCAGAAAACGATGAAAAGTTCAAATAATTGAACTTTTTATAGGTACGAGATTTCCGAGTTTGCGTGACATCGTCATGCGTTTTACCGAGATTTCCTTAAAATCGGTACGGAATTTGCAAGTTGTCGTGTTTTGCGTGACATCGTTCCCAGTGTAGCTTGCCCAATGTTGAGCAATGATGCGAACTTTTTTCGGGAACGATTTCACGCAAAAACCGATGTCTCGGATAAAACGCACGGAAAAAACGCGTAGTGGAGCCCGGCCTTAAGGCTTGCAAAAAGGTACTTACGTAATGCTGACAAAGACTGAGCTAACAGAAATGAATTACTGCATCAGTTGTATTTACTGCTCACGTGAACTAAATTGCACAATAATCGATTGTCTTACCGGTCATACCTAAAGTTTCACGGCCTTTACATACATATTTCAAGGTGTTACAACTTGTGATATTCATACATAATGGGCGTTGAACCTGAGCACCGACATATCGACGGCATTGTAATGCTTCAAATGAGAAGCATTCCAAATAGATTCCCAATACAGTCTGCCTATCTAATTGACATCGTTGATGTTATGCACGGCTGACGGTCTGCAGGCATTTGTACCGGGCGGCTATCAAGTCTCATGGGATGTCGCTTTTCAAATAAACATGCCAAGCGTGCGACAATAAACGGTCGAGCTTTTCGCCACGCCGTGGGTTTTCCTATCGACGCTGCAATGCGGGTAGGTAACTGCATTGTAGGTATTTGTAGAAATGTCGGATTTGGGAGTGATATTGTGCAATTGTCTATTGCACTTCGAGGGGAACTCCGCGTATTGATATGGCTCCTGTCAGCAGTGCTAACCATTGTGATGCTGCTATCTCAATCCTTTGGTTGTAACTGAATCCATTGTGACAGTGGCTACTGGCTTTGTATGACGACTGATCTGTTTGCTGTAACGGCCGCTGCCTGCCGTCTCCGCACCTGTCTGCGTTGCTATTTCCGCGAACTGTCGACTGACCTTGACCGTGCGCGCTGCGCAGTCCGGGGATAACCTGTCTCTCCCTCCCCTCCCCTGCGCTCTGCACCGGTTTGGTATGCGTCGCTACTCGGTATACCGCTCGCCGGGCCGTCTCTGAGGCTGGCAGCCGCCGGCTACCCTGCCGGCGCTGGGCTGCCGGCGCCGGGCACCGCCGCGCCGGCTACCTCCGTCCATCGCCGGCGCTGGGCTGCGACCACGTGGCCGCCCGCTGCGCCGGTCGGTGGACGGTGGACGGTGGACGGTTGACGGTTGTCACGGGCTACCGCGGACCTCCTCCACCACCGCCGCCGCTACCGCCGCCGCCAGCGTCATCGCGTCGCCGCCTCCGCCGCCTCCGGGCCCGGTTCGGTAGTAACGGTCCGTCGCACACCGCCCTGGGCGGTTCGCAGCACGCCGCAGATGATTGTCCATTGTCCTCAGTTCTGTCGGCACGCCAGGGTCGGGTCTGGGATATGGGGTAGGTAGTCGGAGGGTCAGGAGGGCTCGGTTTGACCCGGAGCACGGAAGTAAGGACGTCTGGGGCCCACGAACGGAGCTGGGGTTTGTGAGTTGCTGACGGATTAGCTAACAGTCTTGGACATAAACATTTGACGTCAGAGATATTTACATAGTGCATATTTCTTTTAAACAGTCACCTCATTCTTCAGCCAGTAAACTCCCAGCACATTCCAGCTACCCCAGCAGTATATTGATTACCAGTGTCTCTTTCCGGGTGCATGGTCATTGGCCACGCGTCGGTTCTTTCTTTCGTGCTTCCTCTCGTTACTTCAACTAAACATTTACTTTCCTTTCCGGGCTCCCAGTGATATCTCAACCACACCGTTTCTGTTCTGTGCTCCGCTTCCACCTCATCCCTGTCCCGATCTCATTGTGACCTGACCCACCACGCCGCGCCTCCTGCTGCCCGCCGCCGGCCGGGTGCCACCGTTGCGGACCGGCCCGGCCTGCAGCGCCGGACCGCTCGCCGGCTGGCCGGCGCCAGCCGCCGCCGCCGGCCGCTGCCGCGCGGAAGGCATCTGGGCCGCGGCGGCGATTGGTATGCGGCGCAGGCAGTCGACGGAAGGACGAGCGGTGGCGCCGGTCGCGCTGCAGCGACTGCAGGTCCTCCGCCGGCCGGGGGGTGTTTGTATGTGTGCCTGGCGGTGGACAGGGCCGCGCGGCGTCAGGTACCGGAGGGTGGTACCGAGAGCGGTGCTCGGAATAACGGTCACCTGCGCCGCGCGGCGACTGGCAAACAGGCCGCCTCTGTGGGCCGGCCGGGCACACATACACTGGGCCTCCCGGTCTGCAGATACGGCTGCTGGGGATGAGCGCGAACACCGACCCGGCTGGCAACGGCACGCCGCTGCAGGCTGTGGGTCAGAAGTGGTCTTCCGCGCTCGCCCGGCCATATGGGACCGCTAGTGTGTCTTCTACACTTGCTAGAATCCTTATAAGCATAACGCTGATGTGGTGATTAATTCGTCACGTTGCGACTGTCTGGTCGACGGGCCTCCTCAAAGAAGTATTCTGGGAAGTGCTGTGTACCTCTGGGGCGGCGCCCGCGTTTTGCGAGTGAAGTCGCCGCCTGTGTCAGGTCGGCTGGCTGTTTTGGGACTGGTTTTTATGCAACATGCTCTTGTCTAGTGCGGCCGGTCTGATGTATTCCCAGTGGTCCGATCCGTCGTCGTGTCGTTCCGTGGTGTTGGACTC